TCAAATCGGTAATCCGTGTTCGCGAAATCGTCGACGACAATTTGTATCCGCACACATGCACACACATACATCCATTTTTCCTAAGATATGCCAAAATGTTCAGAAACCCCTGAAACGTAAAGATATATAAAATTTTTTATTATCGATTTTTTTATTACTATAAATTACCCTTCGGGAAGTTGATTAAATAAAAAAAAGTGAATTGAGAAAATAAAAAATATTTTGTATGTCCTCAGATTTTAGTGAACAATGCAAACGAATATATTTCATCATTCGATACTAATTTTTTGGGGCTCAAATTATAAATTATTAATTCATTATTTCTACGCGTATGAAATTAAATAGCTTCAATTACCAAAATTAAAAATATTTTAGTAATGAACTGAGTCATCTTCAATAAATTAAATGAAAATATCATTGTTTGTAGTAAACTTAGAAAGAAAGTGAAGTGCACAAAAAATTTAATGAAAATCTTCAAGCGAAAGCCTATTCGCAAAATTACGGATGCGATATGGATCCTTTACTTTGTGAATAAATTCATAAATATTTCTCCCTATGAATATGATAAAAGTGGTCATAAACTGACAGGACGAGCAATTTTCAAATGTTCCTGTACATTTATCTTGTATTCCTTCACAACTTATTTGGCATTTGAATTATTTAATGGAGTCGAGTACAAAAAGTCCAGATCGTTGGTGACTATAGTGGGAAACATTATAGAAACCATCACAGGAATTGATACCATGGTAGTCCTGTTTATTTTTTCTGTTACTCAATCGAAATATAATTTTGGATGTTGGGAAATTTTGGAGAAGATAGATGATGGTCTGCAAGATGTTGGCATGCCAGTAACTTATGATAAATTTATGGCATTTTCTCTGAGAGTTGCAATAATCACTTTAGGCAGCTTGGGAGTTCTGCAGTGGAATCGATCATATACAGAAGCATATTTTTATGGTTTTCTGGGCTTCGTTTATGGTATGCACAACACTATGCCATTAATTGTTACTTTAGCTATAATTTTACAATTCCAATGTCTTTTATACTTATTTCGTGAAAGACTACAAATTATTGAAAAATATTTTCAACAAATACATCATTTTAAATCTGTCGTGATCCGCAATCCTCGTGTGGTCTGTATAAAACTTGGAGATGACACCAAAACATCCAATCCCAAAAACAACAATAATAAAATAAAAAATTGTGAACGCCAGATGATAAATAAATATCTCATCCAAAAACACCAATCGGTGGAAATCCAAAATTCCATAAATCGTTTCCATGCAGTTTTAAAAATTTGGTCAGATTTAGTCGAGTGGGCAGAAAATATTCAAGAAGCATATTCTGTTCCTGTTTTGGTGTCTTTGATTTTACTTGCAATCACTAGTGTTTTTAGATTATATATGGGAATCTGGCATTTTGATAAAATCGAAGACTGGAATTATGTTGCATATAATGTTTATTTCACGACAGCAAGTATTCAATCGGTAATTCATATTTCAATTATGATTCTTTTACTTCTAATTGAATCTTGCAAGAGAAAGGTAAGTTGATAAAGAATAATTTGGTACACATAAAACTATTTCAGAAAATCATTAATTTTTGTATTCTGATTATTAAGGGGCACACCTAGGGGGCGTCCATTAATCACGTGAGGTTTTTAGGGGGACGGAGGGTATAGTAAGAAATCACGTGTATTTATTTTTTAACTGATTTTTTCAAAATAAATTTAAACATTTTCAAAAAAAAATCTAAAAAATTAGTTTTTTCACGTAACTAAAAATACTCGTGATGTTTGGTTGGGGAGGGGAGGTAATTTTGAATATCACCATGTATTACCAAGGAGGGGTCCAAAAATCCTTAAAAACTCGCTCACGTGATTAATGGACGCCCCCCTAGTGTAACAACCTAAAAAGAGGTAAAAAAAGAAAAACTAGTGAATCTATCTATTTAAAATTTTGAGGGTATATTTATACATGTTTTGAGAACACACAGTAAAGTTTTTGGAATAAAATATTAAATATTTTTGAAATAACATCTTCGGCGGCGCCAAAAAAAAGGTCCTCCACTGCTGGAGTGATTGCAGCCTTCTCGGTTGATAAAACACAAAAAAATCTCGTTAAATTAAAATATTGTCTGTACGATGTCCCTCGCGCGAACAAAAAAATAAAAAATTAACAAAATGGCGGCATGTTGAAAAAAAAAGATAATTTTTTCCCAAAATTTTGATCGTTTTTGGCTCGTTTCGTTTTTGATCAGATCAAAATTATCGTATGATGAACTATAAAGAGGAGATACAAAAAAAATTTGATAGCGTTAGGATCATTGTCTCCGAGTAATCACTCCAGCAAATTCCAAAAATGCTGTTTCGAGAAAAACGCGTTTAAAGAAAAAATAATCGTTATACTATATACTAGATATGCTCTTTTAAATGGCTGTAGCTCAAAAACTATTTAAGATATCGATTTAAAATTTTAGTATGTTATTTTTAAAGGTATAACCTATCGAAATATGAAAAAAAAATTGATTGTTTGAAAGTTTCACACTAGGTGTGCCCCTTAATACTTAAAAAGTATCAAAATTTCTAACTAATGTGTCTTTTTCCTCTATTAAGTTTGAACATACGTTATTACTCATACACAAGCTAATGCTCTTGGAAAATAGCTCTTTGATGAAAAAAAGACTTTTAAATTATTCTCTGGAAATGCTTCATAAAGATACGGACTTGATGATATGCGGAATGTTCCCTTTAAATATTGAAACTCATTTTATAGTAAATATCATCCACAATATGAAAATGAAACATTATAATTGTATATTTAACGTGCGATTTATTTTTTTCAGCATGGTGCCAAAGTATTCTATTATTTATTGATACTGTTCCAATTTTAATGGAACATGTTTATTACTAAATTTTACTAACTAAATTCATGACAAGCGATATAATTTTTTTTTATTTAAATAATGCAAGATTGACGAGAAGCTAAATTGCATGAATTTTATAAAATTACAACCAAATTATTATAAATCTTACAATCTCTAAAGTACGTAATGAAAAATTAAGATTTTGTGTCTAATAGTCTGTTATATAATTTAAATGATTAAATTTATAAAATTTCAACAAATTTATTTTATTTTTAGAATTTTTTTTAAACTTTAAAGTAACAAACTTATGAAATTCTATTAACCTTATATTGATTTTATTAATTTTTGTTGTTCGAAATTGAAAGTTAACAGATTTCGTATTACTAAAAATATACGAATTTATAATGTATAAAATTTTATTAAATTTATTTTAATTTTAAAAATCATTCAAGTCCGAAATTTAACAACAAATTTTTTTCTATTCTTAGAAAACTTCTAAACTTTAATTTAGCTTACCTGCCAAGTAGGTAAATCCCTTACAATATATATATATATATATATATATATATATATTTATAGCTTTGTATATTTACATATTTCTTACATAAATACGAATGTGGATTTGTGCATTTTGCATATCTTGAGTAGTTGATAATAATTATGAAAATTTAATACAAATTTATCTAACCGTAGATAAATTAAGTAAGTAAGTTTTAGATAACTATTATAAATAAAATTAATATATCTAAATAAAACGATAAAATGAATAATTTTTGCTTTTATCGGTTTTGGGAATTTGAAAATCTAAGAAAATAATCTGTATTGGATTTAAAAATCAATTGATACTAACAGAATTTTATATTTCAAGAAACTCTATATTTTATAAACATACAATTAGTCAATTGCATTATGACTGCATTATATTTTTTTTCTCGGGCAAATTAAAGGATTATAATTATAAATGGTAATAGATAAGTAAAATATATATAATAACTCAAATAACAAAATTTGAAAATAATATAATCAACAAGTATGTAGAGTTTTATTTTTCCATTCTATTTACAAAAATATTGCAAAATTTATTCGGAATTTAATTTATCAAATTGAATATCTATATGAAAAATAATCTATGTTAATTAAATTAATCAGCACATGCGCTGCTAAAATCATAAAAAATACATACCTACTTGTTTAAGAATGCAGGGATAATTTTTTATATTTGCAATTATAATTTTAATGTTCTGTACATAATTAATGATTTGATAATTTTATTTTGTAAACAGTTTTATGCTGTAAACAATAATAGAAATGTACTTATTAATTTAATATCGAAATTAAAAAAAAAGCAATAAAAAACATCTTCGTTTGTTTTAACTTAATTGAGATAAATAATTGTCTTAAGTAGTAATTGAGATAAATAATAAATAGTTAGTAAATTTTTCGATGAACATTAAAAATGATGCACGTTTTCCGTGAGGTAGTTATCTAAAATAAATAAAGATATAAAAATCACTCTTATCTTATCTAATTAAAATTGCGGCATTAAAAAATCATCGATTTCCTTACCCGATTTTAAATTTGAAATTAATTTATCTAAATATTTTTTTACATTATTTGCTAATAATAATTATTATTCCTTAAGGATACTTTGTATTAAAGTATCTAGCAAAAATTGAATTCGATTTTGTAATTTGGAAACATGGCCTATTTTTTAAAAAAGGAAAATTTACGTATTATAGAGCGCCTAACTAAAAATAGTTTTTTTTTTAAAAAAAAGAAAATGAAATAGAATTTAGATAACAAATAATTGTACTTAGATGGCATATATGCAATTTTAAAACTATTTCATTATTTTTCCTGAATTTGTTTAAATTATCTATTAGCAAAAATAATCTAAAGCTTGCAAAAAGCTCAAATTTCATTTTCTTCCATTCATAAGTTTTATTCCCCTTGCTGTACAGTACTGTTATTGACCTTCGGAATTTTTTCAAATTATGTATAATTATACAACATTATCACTTAGTATAATGAACTTTACTTATCACTCCCATTTGTATATATAAATGGAAATGCTCAACACTTTTGTGGAATTTATCATCCTAACAATCGATCTGAGAAGTTAAATTTAATGCAAAATGTCTGTTCCTAAAATAAGATTAAATGATGGGAATGAAATGCCGATTTTTGGATTAGGAACCGATAAGGTATAATAATATAAAATTTCATTATTATATATTTTATACTTATTTTATATTAATGATTTATTTTATTAAAGTCGCCGATTTCTGGAGATAATACACGTGCCGTAGAATGTGCTATCGATGCAGGTTACAGGCATATTGATTGTTCCTATTTGAGCCAAAATGAAGGAGAAATCGGTGAAGCCATTAGAAATAAAATTGAAGATGGTACAGTTACCAGGAAAGAGTTGTTTGTTGCGACCAAGGTAAGTCCTTGGAAAATTCTCAAATATTAGTAACTTATTACTAAATACGATGTCTAAAGATTGGTTAGATGGCTAGGTTTATAAGTTATTATTATTAATTTTCTTTATGAGCGAAATTATGAACTTTGTTCAAAATTCCATTCTTCTTTCACTTTTTGTTATATTTCTGATAGCTTTCAGCATTGAAAACCAAACCAAACATCCAAAAAACCAAAATCAGATCGATATCAAAAATTTCTTCTAATAACCAACATTTTAAAATTTGGGTTGATACAGTCAATTGCTTTCGAGTTAGATGTTATGATTTCATACTTTGTTTTCTGGATTTGGATTCTTCAGAATTTAAATAAAATTGAAAAAACATCAATTATTGATTTATTAATTTTGTATTAAAAGACGGTTTGATCGAGTCAGTTGGTTTTGAATTAGTGTTAGCATCCTTCAAAATTTAAATAAAATTCGAAATATATAAGTTATTGGTCATACTGAATTCTTACTTCTCAATTCGTATGAAGATCCTTTCAATTCTTTTTTGATCATATATTTTATTCATGATCAAAAATTTGATTTTCTCAAAAAATATTGAACCGCTAATTGTCATTCGTTACATAATTGAGTTGTAAAAATTTGAGTAAATATTTAGAAATTCTTTAGCATTAAAAAGTTTGAAATGGTATGGTTATACAAATTCGCACCCACTTGAGATTAAAATAATTACAAAAATAATATTGCTATTGATTAATAGTGTGTTTTACGAAATTTATATATATATATTTTATTCATGATCAAAATTTTGATTTTCTCAAAAAATAGAAAGCTAAAAGTCATTTGTTAATAACATAATTGAGTTGTGAAAATGTGAGTAAATATTTAGATTCACGTTTAGGAAAGTATCTTTAGAGTGAATTAAAACAAAATAATGCTATTAACTCAAACGTTTATGTTTTATGAAAGTTCAAGATATTGACTTCTTTCAATTTGTAATTTTTTTTACTATCGAGATTTAGACTTTTATATTCAAGTATTATTTTTCTTCGGATATTTTTATCTATTTTCTAATAAACTTCAAGTTCATTTTTCTTCTACAATTACTAAGCTACAGTATGATTATAATCTATAGACTAATTGGTGGGTATAATAATTATTAATTAGTGTAAAATTTTACTCAACAACCTAAATCATTTTTATTTCATATTTTTTAATTTAAAAGATCTTCACTACTATTAACTCTTTTATTTAACTAAATTACAACTAATCTGCATATAAAAAAAATTTTTATATGCAGATTTATAGTTTTTTAACTTCCCGTAGGGTAAGTTATAGTAATCGCAAAAAACTCGAAAATGTAAATTTTTATATATCCTTACGTTTCAGAGGTTTCTGAACATTTTGACATACCTTAGAAAAAATGGATGTATGTGTGTGCGTGTGTGTATATGTGTGCGTATGTATGTGTGTGTGGATACAAATTTTTGTCGACGATTTCGGAAACACGGATCAACCGATTTGAATAATTTAAAAACATTCGATTCGTATTGATAAATCAAATTATCAGATATTTTATAGAGATTTTAATAATGTTTATTACTTTCGGTACGGAAAGTTTCAGCAATTTGGCTTAAGGCACGATGCCATACACCACTAGCTTTAATATTGATTTTGAAGACTGAAATACTTTTTACAACATTTTTTTCTGAGTTTGTCGTTTCAGCTCTGGTTTGCACGTCATGAACCAGAAAACGTCGTAAAATTTTGCGAAAAATCTCTTGACAATTTGGGATTGGATTATTTGGATTTGTATTATATACACTGGCCCGTTTCATATAAAGTAAGAAAAATGTGTATTCATAATTTTATTCTTTTAAATTTTTGAAATTTATTTTATTTTTCAAATAATGAATTTATTCTACTTCTTTTACAGGGATCTAATAACCCGCAACACTATATCGATTACCTGGACACATGGAAATCAATGGAAGAATGTGTGAAATTAGGTTTAGCAAAAAGTATTGGAATATCAAATTTCAATAGTCAACAAGTGGAAAGGCTCATTCAAAATTGTACCATAAAACCTGTTGTCAACCAGGTTGAAGTCAACACCAGCATTAACCAGAAAAAATTGACTGAATTTTGCAATGACAGGGGTATTGTAATTGTGGGGTATACACCTTTAGGTAATAAACCCAGTTTTGGTCAAATAATTAGTACAAAAATTTGAAAATTGAATACTAGAAATGATTAAAAGAGAGAATTCAAGTTTCAGTGAATTTAATTGATTTTATATAGCATGTTGAGAATGCGGGGAAAAAGTTTGCGGAAAACTTTGAATTTCAAAGAATTTTTTATAACTAAAAGTTTGTATTGAACTTTATATGAAGTTTATTATTGAGTCTACCCTATCAGAATTATTAATTCAAAATTATACATAAAGTAAATATTTGCTCTTTATTTTTTGACGGTACTTTTAAATCTTTTTTAATAATTAAATTTTAATATTATGTTAATAGCTGTTAAACTTACACTTGATTTTCAATTCAATTGAATGCTAATTGAATAATATAAGTAATTATTTTTTTTTAAATAAATTAATAATGTTAATTATTTTTATCATTTTCAGGATCGATAGATAAAGTTCGACATGGTGTGCAAATACCCAAAATTTTAACTGAATTAGCAGCAAAATATAATAAAAATCCTGGACAAATTGTGCTCAGATACCTGGTAAGTATTCAACCCATTAAGAAAAAACTTTAACTTTTCTAAATAAATTAAATCTTATAGAAATGATAGAAAATCATTGCAAAAGATATTTCTTTACTTTTTGGTTGTATATTTCGGTTTTGATCCGTTTAGTCAGTTTTCATATTTCAGAACTTTATGTAACAGACTCTTTTAAATATATTTTATATACATTTTTAATATAAATTTATGAATTTAATATAAACAATTTTATTAAAATTAACAATACAAAAAATATTAATCTTATGCATAAATCTTCCAAATTTTTTTTAGTATTCATGTATTTTAATATTCATCATTTTTTTAATTTTTTTTTTTGAGTATCTTTTAACATTTTTTTAGGTTCAACTAGGCGTTGTGCCAATTCCTAGATCTTTGAATAAAACACGAATCACAACAAATATACAAATATTTGACTTTGTATTAACAAATGACGAAGTTGAACAATTGGATGCTTTGAATGAAAATAAACGATTTATCACATTCGATTCTGCCAAGAAATTCAAAGAGTATCCGTTCCATATAGAATTCTGATATTGAATAAGCAACTTTAAGTATGTAAATATAAAAATCTTAGATTAAGCTTAATCTTAAATATAGTAATTAATAATTATAAATGATATTTGAATTTTCTTTAATTTTTACGAAGTATTTTAGCAAGTGGTAACGCTTTATATGACCTATAAAATTTTGTGCAAGTCGACAATAACGATATTGATTTTGTCCTAGAACATGAGCAAAACCTTTTACGTTTCACAGGACAAGAGATTTTGAATCTGTGCCAAGTAACAATTTTCGGATAAATTTCTTGGTAACAACCGTTTTATTTGGATTTTCATTATTTGTTAACAAAAGTTGAGCTACGTGATACTATAATTTAATAATACAGCCTAAAATTTCAACTAGTTGTGTATGGCATCGTACCTCAAGGTAAATTGCTGGAACTTCCCGTACCGTAACGAAATATTCGAAATGTATTAAATGTTTTCATAATATTGTATCATTGTCTAATATTTATAAGAGTTATATAAACTGAATTACAAAGTTAAAATTATTTATTTAAAGCATATAAGTGAGCTTTATAACTTTAGCTAGAATTAAAATTAAAATGAAAAAAAAATAAGATAAAAAATTGAAATAATTTTTATTCCAAAAGTAATTATTTTGTCAAAACAAGCAGGAAGTTTTTTGAATCATTTACATCGGATGCTTAGTTTTCTTAGAAATTGCCATTTACTGCACATTTTGCTCGGTATCTCCGAAACGTCTGGACCTGCCTTTGCAAAAAACTAGTCACCACTTCTCCTCATCACTACAAACTGAATGTTTTTTTAATGATTGAAATCGGATGTTCAGTACTCTCAAAAACTCGATTTGCATTTTCTGCACTCTTTGCTTCGTATCTCCGTAACGGCTGGACCTGCCTTTGCCAAAAACTAATCGGCACATTTCCCCATCAATAGGAATCGAATGTTTTTTAAACCATTCAAATCGGTTGATCCGTGCGCCCGAAAACGTGGAGGAAAATATGCGGATATACAAAACACAGACACACATTCATTTTTTTTTGAGGTATGCCAAAGTGTTCAGAAACCTCTGAAACGTGAAGAAATGCAAAAATTTTTATTTTCTAATTTTGACCTATTACTATAACTTACCCTACGGGAAGCTAATAATGAATTTTAAAAACAAAAATTAATTTAGTAATGCAGGTGTTCTTTCTTAATTTTAAATGATATCTCGTACAAAAACGAATAAACTTGGAAATTGGTATATCGATTTTGAGCAATTTTTTTAAAAATTTGCACATTCCTAATGAATGATTTTATATTTTTATTGAAATTTATTCAATTACTTATGTTAAAATATTATAACTGCAGATATAAATTTGCAGAGAACACGTTATTAGCATGCAAAATTTTATACAGTATTGTTAATATGTTTGTCTGATGTGTTGGAGCAATAAAAGTGCATTGTTACATAGAATAATGAAAAATTTCTCGACAAAATGCAGAATTTTATATATCTACACTTTATATTTAATAACATAAGACAAAATTCGTTAATCTTATTATTAACTTCTCGACAAGAATAATTCTATAAGTTTTGGTCAGAAAATCCGATTCCATAATTTTATGGTTCCTCGACGTTTCAAGTCATTCTGCATCGTTTGACACCAAAATTTAAAAAAATAATAGTATGTATGTTCTTACAATTTCTTTGAATTTAAGAGGAAATGTATTGAAACCACACATGAAAATTCGAACCTACCTCGTAGTTTTAGTCAAATTTTTTCGTTTATGTTCATTTAATATTTAAGAACATGTTGTATACAATTAGTTTATCCGTTAATTTTGCTGCTGAAGCAAATTCGTGTTATCCATTTCGGCGGAAAAGTGCTTTGTGCTAAAATCCTTTCATCCAGAAACATTGATTGCATGATAATGGCTTTATGCTAATTCGTTAAAACGACAACAGGTAAAATCAACACGATGCTTTTTGTATATTGAATAATGCACGATTTGGATTTGTAGAGATTCTGTAAATGATAGAAGTATTTTTATCAATAGTCATATTAATAATCGATAGTTATATACTATAAGATTATGATGGGTGGACCATAGTGGATCGCCTGTTGAAGTGGAAATATTTGTTTCTGAAAAAAAAAACATTATTTTAACCCCTGGCTGGAAAACCAAAGCTCCAACCACTAAAATATGGGGAAGCCTTTCAATTGGAATTTGTTACATATTTTTCTAATTTTTGATCATTTTATAAAAAAATTTTTTTTTATGAAAACCTTTCCAGTTGTTCTGAATATTTAATACACAACGAATGCATATTATAGAGAACGTGTAATTGATGAAAGTACAAAGTTAATTATTTATGTCTCACATACTCCAAAAAGAGTAAAAAAATGAGATATTTCACAATCAGCCGGTATGTGTTTGCAGTTTTTTTATTACTTTTATTATTTCAATAAAGGTCACAGAAGCATGTGGTTTTATATTCGAATAAACTCTGACGCACTTCGCACTGGAAATAAAAGTTTTATATCTATTAATGGATTCTGTCATGAATATTTATTTATTTTAGGCTCTTAGCGTGAGTCACGTGGATTTTAAGGCAAGTAATTGGAAAAACTTTCCCCAAAATGGAAAATGAAATAGAACTAGTTTTCAATTTTGAATCATGTTATTCTACTTCTTCTAATTAATTATTGCCAATTAACTTCCCGATATTTGAAGTATGTATTTTTAATAGTGTGTGCTTGAGGCAAAAATTGACCCTTTGTCGACATTTTCTTAAAAACGGCTGAACCGATTTCGAAAAATTGAAAGCTTTTCGATTAAACTCTATAAGACATCGCGTTTTCCTTGATAAGAAACGCGATTTTTAACTGCAAAGTCAAATCAAGTAACAGCAAAAATTTAAATAGAAAAGATCAAACCATTGAAATAAAAACGTTTGGCATTGTCAAATATTGTGATATTACTGTGATATAAAAAAAATACATTTCATTCATGTGTGTAATGAAGTTATATCAAATTACGCCAAGTATCAAATACATTAATGACGTGAAGGCTTTTTATGACGTAGAAAAATCGCTTGTGTTTATTATATACGTAAACAGCCGATACATATATATGTACGCAAATAAAAAAAATGTTTTCATGCACCTAACTGCGTGTTAATTTCATCTTGAACATATGAATATTTATTTTATTACTTAACTAGCAAATATTTTTGAATTTTCAATATTATGTTAAATATAGAGTACCTATTTCGACGCTATGAATAAACTAGATGTAGGAGGTAATTTGCCTTAAGGCAAGTCGAATGCACTTCCCGGCAAGTGTAAATGATCAATATGACCTCTGAGAACTTTGATGATTTTGAATAATATCGATTGTGTCTTGATGATTGTTGGTAGAATTCTCTTATAGTTAGGTGAATCCTCACTTTGCAAATGTACCTTTCACTAGTTTCGATACCAAACTGCAAGATAACGTCTAGAAGAGATACATATTTTTACACCATTTTGTTCGTTTTTTTATATTTAATTAAATTATTTTTATTTTAATAGTATTATTTACAAAGGCGCCACGCATATGAATTGCGTGCGTAAAAAACACAGTCACACACTGGTTATTCATCTTTTCCATTGTACTGACGCACTGACACTGCGGTGTTAATTATGCATTTTAGTGGTAATATAAATAAAAAATATTATAGTAATTATTAATATTTCTTTGCTAAACTTGCAGCTGGTAATGGAATTACTGCTATGCACATTTGGCTCCACAAATACTAAAGATAAGATAGTTTTTAAGTCATAACTTCTGATTAACTTCCTCAAGGAGAAATTTCAAGCCATTCTAAATTGTTTGGCATTACAAATTAGAAAAAGTATGCATATCACGGTTTTTTCAAAAAACATTTTAAAAATATTTTAAAAATTTTACCCATTTGATGAAATTCAAAGATCAATCCTAATTCCAATAATTAATTTGCTGATTAATTTTGAAGGACTATCGGCCCAACTGATTTTTTGCAGAACAGTAGTACAAAATTTTTGGTTAATGTTTTCTTCAAATTTTTTTCAGCTAAAAATACAACATACTGAAAAAAGTTTGATTTAACACAACGCATGTTTAATTGATTATTTTGAACTATAATTTAATAATTTAATAATTGATGGTTTTTTAGGTAAAACATTAATTTCATCAATATATCGAATTATTGAGCTGATACGTTCTTATTTTGACTACTATATGGAAAAATTGTTGCTATATAGTCAAAACAAGAGTTTAATAAATGAGTCATCAAATCATTTTAGACTGATGATAAAATCATGTTACCAATGAAACTGCATATTCCAATCACTTAAGCTTAAATTACGTGAGAATCTCGGAATTTGAGATACCCAACTTTAAGTCTGTAAATACTTGTATTTTGCACCCTAAAAGTTGTCTCAAAACCTATATGGTAGGGTGTACCCAACATATGTAGGATTTGAGACAAATTTTAGAGTGCAAAATACAAGTATTTACGGACTTACAGCTGGGTATCTCGAATTCCTAGGTGAACTTACTATAATTACTATAATGACTGGAGTAGCATAAATTTAGTAAAGATCAGTCCAGATTTTAAAATTCTAATCTGGTATATACTATAAATTCAATATTTTCAGTATACTATAAATTCAATATTTTTACAAGTCCAAAGAATATAGATTTTTTTTGAAAAAATATCAACATTTGTAAAAATTATTTCAGATTAAATATGATTAGTGTTTCCACTAGCGGTCGTATTATCCTGTATTGGCTTTCAGCCAGTTATTAAAACAATGCGAACGAAAACATAAATATTTTTCATGTTTTCACAATAACTAAAAGGTATATAGGCTATTGTGGTCAGATTCGATAAATCTGTTTTTATGGGAATACACTGTCCAAATAAAGCCAAATATATACATGATAAGCCGGATTTTATACGTACATGTATAATCCTGCTGGGCCAACATTTTGGTGGTTTGCATAGCAGTAATAAAAAAATAACAAAAAAATCTGGTAATCCAATTTTATATTATAATGCGAGATATCAGTCCCAATTAAATTTCTGCATTATTTTGTCATTTAATTTTTATTTTTCAGAAATTCAGGATTGAAGTAGAACTTGATGACCATTGACTATTGTACATTACCACAAAGTTTTCCCATATGATTGAATTGAGATGTTAAAATAATTTTTATGTAATTCTGATGTAAATATTAACGGGAATTCTTCGGATGCAACATCGGTTTTTTAAATGGTAATGTATTTAAATTTTGTTGCTACAGGTAAATTCATGTAAAATTCATTTGCGTTTCATCCTACCATTTCAGTATTCATTCGTGAATTCGTGAATTTTTTAAAATGCTTTCATTCTCGAAAACCTACAAGGGTTCAGAATGAAAAATACATGTTTTGAACTGTGCAATTGATGTATTGGTGATAATATTACACACATCTCTTTTTTGCAGTTTGCTATACCACCAACTCATACGAAGATAGACCAGTAACTTAGCATTAACATAATATTTATATTTTATCCGAAAATTGACCCCTCAATGTTAAAATATTAATTGTAAGTATTATCTAATTTTTGAATCTATTAAATTAGATTACTTTCCTATCTTCTCGAAGTTAATAATTGCGCCTGGCATATTGTAAACCTAAAAATCGATTCAGCTATATCCGATTATTTTTTAAAATTTAGTTTTCTTTTAAAGATGCTATGGAAAATTTAAAACCTATTTATATTTATCATTTGGCACTATTCGGCTTTTACCAATGTTTAGATATAAATTAAACTATATATTTAGAGCAAACACTGCTAACTACAATGTTGTAAAACAAACATTGTTTTGTAACAATGATGATGGGAATCTACTAAAGCTTTAGTGAAAAGTAGATTGAAAATTTTTATATTAAATTTTATTTCATAATTTGATTAATGAAGATTTTTTGTAATCACTCAAAGAAAATATTGGATATTACAGAAATCGAGTTAGAAGATTTTGCTTTACATATACATATGTATTTTTCTAAACTAAATTCCTACATATTTTTTTAAAAAATATCGTATTGGGGTCTTCATCTTAAATATCTTATTATATAAACATATAGAGTGATAATAGAAGATAATACAATAAATAAAAATAAGGTAATTCTTCATTATAAAATAAAATTGACATCAATTATATCAATATTTTAATTTGATTTTAGAAAATAATGGAGATCTAAGATACTATCAAAAATTATGCTGCTAATTGAAAATTTATATTCAAGAAATCCTTTGACTCTAATACTTCTCTAGAAATTCTTTAAAGAATGAGGATTGCCTCGCAATAACATAAGATCTATCTATTATTATTATTATTAAATGTAATATAACAAGGTTAGTAAAATTCAATTCTATTTGAACATAGTTTTGAAATTAATAATAATATTATACAATGTGTTTTTATCATTGGTCCACGAGACTTATCTGTGTAATAAAAATATTTTGTTGATCGGGCAATGTGTTTGAACAAGATAAGTAGTCATGACGTTGATAGGTAATGGATAGTTGAAAATACTTTTATTTTTTAGACCAAAATTCTGGTTTTCAAAATTTTAATTGACCCGAGTGTAACCTTTAGTTATTTTAGCAATAATATAATAATTTTCTATAATTACAATTTCATTAAATCGTAATCAAGTATGAATATTACATGCATCATATAGAGGTTCTTACATCATAATCAAAGAGTTAGCATCATGGTTAACCCTTTCCACTCGGATGCCGCACCTCCGGCGACAAAATACATAATAATCTCGGAATTCGTGAGTGGAAAGGGTTAAACCAGTCATGCCAGGCTATGATTGCCTAATGCATCGAGAGCACATTTTTAATACATATAGGGCCATATTAGTCATATATGTGTGGCACAAAAAATAGTTGTTTTCCAGGAATTTTCACGCTTTTTTTTCTCTGATACATAAAATTTCGTTTATACATTTTAAAATTATCTAATGAAGTTACCATGGCCAAGGTGTAAATTTTTCTGATATTATCGTGGCGATTAACGTGTTGAAGTATTATTTAATGTTTTAAATGCTTATATGCGTGATTGTTCAACTAAATCTAAAATTTGATTTTTTTAGGAAAGCAAAGTGTATGATAACAACACGGATATGTCATTGTGAAAAACAAAAGTGTGACGTACTCATGCTCGAACTACATATATATGTATATATACATATATACATATATATATATATATATATATATATATATATAATAAATGTGTGATAGGAAAGACGAAAATAAAATAACTCGTGGCCACCGGCAACGCAAGCGAAGCGGTAGCGAAAATCATACGCATGACACACATACTAGATAGAGGTAATTTACATACGCTCAAAAACTATGTATCAATTTGGGATTCGAAATCATTCAAAATATATAATAATTTTTCAGTAATTTGCGATCAAAATTTGAACATCATCCAGGTGAACTGAACTGAATTAAGTTTCTAAAAAAATTTTACATCGACATGGACCATATGTTACGATGCCCACTTTTACTCTTCATCACTGAAAAAATACAAATTATTTGAAAAACATAAAAGCCACATTTAATGAACAAAATTCTTGATTGATAGTCATAACTCTAAAAAAAAGCTTAAAATATTTAATTCAAAAAAATAGAATAAAATCAACATAAAAACGGTGACTATTATAAGGAAATGTTCGAAATTGGTTTTCAAAATTTGAAATTTTCCCAATCTTTTCTTCCTTAATTTAACATTTTAAAACAGCTTCAAATTTGATTATTGACATTTGAAATTTAAAAAAAAATTGGACTTTTTTTAAAAATTTGATTTTTTTAATTTTTTTGGTACTTTTTCATATCTTTATTTATTTTAAAAACTTAGGTTTTTTAAAGCAATCGCGCTGCGTAGCTATTTTAAAGACAAATATGAAAGCGCATATAAACAAAATTTATACTTATCATTAAAATCTTTATAAATTATCCGATAATTTGATGCGTATATGTCTAATGATCATTTTTGAACCCAAAAAGACATTTCTTCTACTTTTTTTCATTAAATCTCCGAAACCGATAGATCTGCCTTCCGAAAATAATCAGTTCTACATTTCGTCAATACAAGTAGAATGTTGTTTGAATCATTTAAATCGGACACTCGGTTCTCTCAAAAACTGAATTACCATTTTTGACATTTTTTGCCCCGTATGCCGACGATTTCGGGAACACGGATCAACCGATTTGAATAATTCAAAAAACATTCGATTCATATTCATGTGGAAACGTACTGATTAGTTTTTCGTATAGGCAGGTCTAGCCGTTTCGAAGATATGGAGCAAAAAGTGCAAAAAATGGCAGGTTCTGAAAGAACAAATCGACCGATTTGAATGATTAAAAAAACATTCGATTTGTATTGATGTGGAAACGTACTACTTAGTTTTTGGTATAGGCAGGTCCAGGTACAGAGCAAAAAGTGTAAAAATTTCGATTAAATCCTAGATATCCGTTCATAGCGTTGTGCGTGAGCATGTCGTTATGGCTGAGTTGGTTGGCGAGTCACTGCCATTTTCGTTCGGGTTAGTAGATAAGAAAGCCAAAACTGATCCCACGTCTTTAATATTTTTTTTTAAATTTTGTTTAATACTTTTTATGTTTGTATAGTTGATACTACACGAACTATTTCAAATTGTTTACACAGTGCATATATTTCGCGAACAAAAAATTGAAGCATTTGAAATAAAATATGTTCATTCTAACAATAAGTCCGCATAATTAGCTTTTGTTTATATATATTTCATTCAAACATATATAAACAACATCGTCTAATCTAATAAGTTTTCACATTTTGCCTACAAGGAACAAATAATGAAAAATCTAGTTTTCATAATATTTATTCGTAGACATTATTGTTGACTGGTTATTTTTATTTTTCGAATGTTGATTACGGTACGGAAAGTTCCAGCAATTTGCCTTAAGGCACGATGCCATCCGCTCCACTAGTTTCAGTGCAATAATGATAACATTCTAGACCCTCCCCCCACAAAGTAATGCCTAATGTCGGTTTCGGTGGGGAAAAGAGGCAAGAGCGGAGGTTTTAGTCGGTATTATACCCAGACGGTATTGAGTGGGATGTATAAAGGCGTTTTCTTCTCTATACAAAAAAAAAACACATATACACATATATACATCGATATTTCTTAAACTATGCTAAAATGTTCAGAAATCTTTGAAACGTAAAGATGTATGAATAAAAATTATTTTCAATTTTTTTATTAAATTTATTATATTAAGTTCATAATATTTATAACAAATATTATACATATATTCATTTAAATACGCCTCCAAAGAACAAAATAATCTTTTATTGTTCGTAAACTTTAATCTGTTCTAGGTTATCCAAACAATGTAAATAGTCCACGACCATCATGACATGCCGAACGGGCGAACACGCTTACGCACGCGCCTCGTCGCCGCATCTGATTCCAACTAGAATCAGTCGTACGAAACGCCTTCAACTGACAGCACACGCACGCATCGCGGAATAAAAATATTATTCAATCGCTAAATAATGTATAAAATACGGTATAGATTGTGTTTAAAGTAATAATTAAATGCTGAGAAATATGAAAATCACAAGTTGAAATGGTTTATGTAACGTTGACGGCACGAACGGTGCTCCGAAAATAATTATTTAAACCAAATTCCCCAATAATGTAGTGCGTGTTTAAAATTTTACTAAATAACAGTGAATCTCATTAGAATCTGATCATAATTTTATTATTATAGTTCTATTACTATTTCTTTTACAATGTCGTTGGTTATATGCAATGACGTTTTCTCAACATACATAACCTCAATTTCGGAGTGGGTGATGAGTGTTAAATGTGGAAAATAATATTAAGTATTAGAAAGTGCTGAGTGTTTTTTTTATTGGTTTCCTATTATTGTTAGGATTCAAAAATAAGTTCTTATGTGTCACAATGGAAACAATTGGCGACGGTCTTCCAGTTTTGCTGGTGACAGCCAATGTTGGAAGCATCTTCGAAGATGTGAGTAAAAAAAGTTGGATTTAATGGCTTAACAAAGAACTCTAGATTAAATGAATTATATGTATGTATATATATATATATATATATATATATATATATCAGACAAGTTTCAATTAAACTCTTACACTTTATGTCTTATAGTTGCATGTTGTTTATATAGGTATAGGGCAGCTATAGGTTTATTGTGACAGTTTTTTTGTACTTATTATATATTAAAATCCACTATTTATATTACGATAATAAAACTTAATAGATGCTTTAACTATTCCTCTATCAATTTAAGTGAAAATAATTTCATAACTGTTGTTTTGTTATTTCAAATTTAATTATGTGAAGTGCGGTGTTACAACTTACCCCGTGTGTGGCGCTAGTAGTAACATCCGCCGGAACAAGTAGTAACGACCAAAAAACGATCATAATACTTTTGATAATTTTTACTTTTTATTTTTACTTTTAAAGCAAAAATAATTTCATAACTGTTGTTTTGTTATTTCAAATTCAATCATTTTCTATAGAAGTGCGTTGTTACAACTTACCCCGTGTTTGGCGCTAGTTGTAACATCCGCCGGGATCAGTAGTAACGGCAAAAAACGACCATAATACTTTTGATAATTTTTACTCTTTATTTTTACTTTTGAAGCGAAAATAATTCCATAACTGTTGTTTTGTTATTTCAAATTCAATCATTTTCTATAGAAGTCCGTTGTTACAACTTACCCCGTGTTTGGCGCTAGTAGTAACATCCGCCGGAACAAGTAGTAACGACCAAAAAACGATCATAATACTTTTGATAATTTTTACTTTTTATTTTTACTTTTAAAGCAAAAATAATTTCATAACTGTTGTTTTGTTATTTCAAATTCAATCATTTTCTATAGAAGTGCGTTGTTACAACTTACCCCGTGTTTGGCGCTAGTTGTAACATCCGCCGGGATCAGTAGTAACGACAAAAAAACGACTATAATACTTTTGATAATTTTTACTTTTTATTTTTACTTTTGAAGCAAAAATCATTCCACAACTGTTGTTTCGTTATTTCAAATTCAATCATTTTCTATAGAAATGAGGTGTTACAACTTACCCCGTGTGTGGCGCTAGTAGTAACATCCGCCGGGACAAGAAGTAACGACAAAAAACGACCTTTGATAATTTATTCTTTACTTATTTGAAAGAAAATTAAAATGTTGCTTAGTAGGTCTTAGTAGCATGTAAATAAGTATTAATTTTATTATTGTTTAACAAATTGTATTAATATATTTGTCAAAGTTTAAGAAAAGGTATTTGAAACCTTGTGCTTTTACAAAAAAGTTTTCCTAGTATTACAGACATTGGTGAATAATTAAAGCATTTCCTAAAAAATATAAATATTGATTTATAGTATTTTTTTATATTGTAGAGTATTTATTTTAACCCTTTCCACTCACTAATTTGTCTTACGTCTTATAGTTGCATGTTGTTTATATAGGTATAGAGGAGTTATGGGTTTATTGTGACAGTTCTTTTGTACTTAATATATCTTGAAATCCACTATTTATATTACGATAATATAACTCAATAGATAATTTAACTATTTCTCTACCAATTGAAGCAAAAATAATTCCATAACCGTTGTTTTGTTATTTCAAATTCAATCATTTTCTATAGAAGTCCGTTGTTACAACTTACCCCGTGTTTGGCGCTAGTTGTAACATCCGCCGGGACAAGAAGTAACGACAAATAACGACCTTTGATAATTTATTCTTGACTTATTTTTAAAAAAATTGAAATATTGCTTAGTAGTAGTTTTCATAAATGAAAAATATACCTAGTGGTGTACGGCATCGTGCCTTAAGACAAATTATTGCTGGAACTACTCGTAATAAATTATTAGAGAAATTTTATCAATGTTTGTAAATAGATTATTACCTGTCTATGCCAAATACTAACCATCACGTCTTCTCATAAGTAGGTACGAATTTTTTGAATTATTCAAATCGGGTTGTAGCATCCGTACTCCCGAAATTGTGGACGTGTGTGTGTGTGTGGTATGTATGTATGTTTGGATACAAATTTTCGTCCACAATTTCGGGGGCACAAATCAACCGATTTGAATGGTTCAAAAACATTTTACTTGTAATGACCAAATGAGTAATTGATGAAATTTTTGGTAAGGCAGCGCTACCGGTTTCGGAAATACAAGAGAAAAAGTAAAAGAAAAGGTATTGGTTGGTCAAAAATGAACATAGGCCTATGCACATAAAATTATACGATATTTGATGAAGTTGTTAAAAATGAGTAGTAATTTTTTTGTTACAATTTTGTTGGGTTTCGTACCAAGATTTTTAATTTTTGAAGTTCACTTACACGGTTCAAGCAAATTTCAATATTTTCCGAAAAAAAAAAAAAATTTCAAAAATATACAAAGGTTTATACTTCAAATATGAATTGGAAACTTACAATTCAATTTCAAAACGTATATATTTCAAATGCGTTATTGTAATCGTAAGAAATATATTCTCAGATAGATTCATTCGGCACCTCTTGCTAATGTAAACATTCTCGATTGTTTGGAGCTATAAGATCGTCAATGTATATTTTATGAATGATAAAATATTTAGAATATAATATGAATATAATTATCTATTTGAAAATGTATAAAACAATTGTTTTAAATCATTGATCAATTTTTATTGATAACTGATTTTTTTCCTCGAATATATAATTCTGGTACGGAAAGTTCCAGCAATTTGCCTTAAGGCACGATGCCATACACCACTAGTTATAATATTTTTTATTCTTACATATTCGATTCCGGAATATATTTTATTTATTTATTATTAACAACGATTTTATTTATTATATTGATTTGTAGGGCTAATAAATTCACTTTGAAAAAAATGAAGAAAATTTTAATTGTATATTTTTCCTTAGAAGTTTATTTTGGTCTTTTGCTATTGACAAACAGCAAAATATATCATATTATATAGAGTCTTTGAAAATTTTGCTATAACATAAATTATTAACAATTTAATTTTTTTTCTCTAATAAAGAAAAATATATAAATGAGAAAGTCTAGCAAATTTTCTTTACAGTTTCTTTAGGCCAATTTATTGTTCATGTTATTTTTCTGGTATTACGAATTAATCACATAAGACGTTATTTATTTTATAACCATTTAATAAAGTTTATAACACGATTCAATCTTTTTTTATAGTAGAAAGTTTTTTAAGCAAAAAATATATTCTGTACAGTACCAGGGTTTAACAATATGAATTAAGAATTAAGAGTATTAAAATCAATAGTCGTAAGCAAAATTATGATATAATAAAATTATAATAAGTTTATAATTAATATTGTAAAAAAAGCTATTATTGTAATCCTAATATTTTAAAACAACTACATAATATATAAACACCATTTTTAAAAATAAGCTTTTTTCAAGTTTAGTAACATTATTTCAATTTTAGTAACTTTTATTCTAATTGAAAACATTTATTCAGATAAAACTAAATTACCTTTTGAATTCAGGTATATGTTATGTACTTTTCAAATTAATGAATTTTTAAGAGAATCGTTAAATTTTCTACAAAAAGCAATCAAAAGAAAATAAAATTTAGTTACCGAAACGCAACTTCTGTTTCTGTAAATTTCATAATTAAAATTTATTTTATTAAAAATTATTAATTTTGAGATATATCGATTTACAACATTAATTTTTTATGATTAGAAGGTTTGTTTTTTATGATTAGAGATATGGTTCAATTTAAATGTTAACATCTTCAATGTTATATTACCCATTTCTATGATAATAATTAGTAAAAAATATGATGCTCTATTTACAAAATTCATTAAGTATTGGAGTAAAATGATTTTGATAAATAAATGTTTATACAGCCTTGAAAATCTGTAATCGATGTGATGCACTACTGTTTTATGTATTAAATGATAACCTGCAAGAAATACACATAAAAGAAACATTAAAATCGAAACACCATAAAAACGGTAATAAAATGATAAATATTGTATATTTATTTTATCTGAGCGACATAAATATTTTTGACATGTTATGTCTGGTCCGAATCATATGAATATATATACTTATATGTGCGTATTCAATACTTACATCACTTAATGTGGAATCTGGACTGGCGTGTTTTCTCCATATAAAGTAGAAATTTAATTTGATAAATTAAATGATATTCTTACTTAAGAAAAATCAGTAAAGTTTTGCTTATAAGCTTAAGGATTGCAATTGATAATTTCAGATTAATATAACTTGATGAAAATACTGAAACAAACTCCTCATAAGCATAAGCTATGGGACTAATTCTCTGTTAAAATAGAAATGTTATGGTTATGTTATGTTACGGGTCTATCTTCATATGAATCGGTAGTAACGAACTGTCAAACATCTAGGCATTTGCAAAAAAGTCAAATAACAATTTTATCATAAGTGCAACTTTCTGATGTCTCTCTTATAACAACTACGTGAAGTTAGGTTTTATGTGAAACTTTTGATCCCACAGTAAATACTTAGCTTTTTGATGGTTTGTTACTACCAATTCATACGAATATAGACCCATAGCATAGAGAACGAAAATTGCAGTGACGCGCCAACCAACTGAGCTATAACGACATGCCCATGCACAACGCTATGAGCCTATGGACGTCTAGGATATAATAGGCACTTTTTGCTCCGTATCTTCGAAACGGCTGGACCTGCCTATACCAAAAACTATTCAGTTTGTCTCCACATCAACACGAATCGAATGTTTTTTGAATCATTCTAATCGGCCGATTCTTTCTCCAAGAACATGCCATAATTTGCACTTTTTGCTCCATATCTTCGAAACGGCTTGACCTGCTTTCGCCAAAAACGAATCGGCACGTCTCCTTATCAATACGAATCGAATGTTTTTTGAATTATTTCAATCGGTTGATCGGTGTTTCCGAAATAGTCGATGAAAATTTGTATCCGCACACACACACACATACACACATACACACACACGCACATACAC